GGGAATTCCAGACAAGAAACAATCATCTCCCAACAAAGGATTCCCCCAGGCAGGAAGCAGCCAAGCCTTGAAGCTGCAAGGCTATTCAATGCTAATCAAGGTGATCAATTGCAGCATTCACACTTGCCTCAAACAGACAGGAGTTCTTTCTCCCACCCTGGACATTCCACAGATATAAAAACCCCATTTGCATAGTTTCCTTACAACTTCTGAGGATGCCTGCCATAGATGTGGGGGAAACGTCAGGAGAGAATGCTTCTGGAACATGCCCACACAGCCCAGAAAACTCACAGCAACACAGAGGATTGATTGGGATTTGTTGTGTTGTTCATTCGTTCAGTCGTCTCCAACTCTTCGTGACCTCACGGACCAGTCCACGCCAGAGCTCCCTGTCGGCCGTCACCACCCGCAGCTCCTTCAAGGTCAGTCCAGTCACTTCAAGGATGCCACTGGATTGAGTTTGTCCCTGCCAAATAAGGAACCCCCAATGGCACAGTGTGTTAAAGCACTGAGCTGCTGATCTTGTTGACTGAAAGGACACAGGTTCGAATCTGGGAAGCAGTGTGAGTTCCCGCTGTCAGCCCCAGCTTCTGCCAACCTAGCAGTTTGAAAACATGCAAATGTGAGTAGATCAATAGGTACTACTCCAGCGGGTAGATAACGGTGCTCCATGCAGTCATGTCGCCACATGATCTGGGAGGTGTCTACGGACAACGCCCGCTCTTCGGTTTAGAAATGGAGATGAGCACCATCCCCCAGAGTCGGACACAACTTGCCTTAATATCAGGGGGAAAACCTTTACTGGGTTGTTGTAGGTTTTTTTGGACTATATGGCCATGTTCTAGAGGCATTCTCTCCTGACATTTTGCCTGCATCTATGGCAAGCATCCTCAGAGGTAGTGAGGTCTTCCTAGTTCCAACAGACCTCACTACCTCCGAGGATGCTTGCCATAGATGCAGGCAAAATGTCAAGAGAATACCTCTAGAACATGGCCATATAGCCCGAAAAAACCTACACCAACCCAGTGATTCCGGCCATGAAAGCCTTCGACAAAAATCTTTACCTTTACCTACCTGCCAAACAAGGGCAGTTGAAGGGCCTGTGAGTCACCCCCACAAAGGGATTCTCTGGGACCCATTTTCTTCCTTTAGTACTGGGAAAAACACCCTGCTAAGCGTATTGCAGAAGGCTATCCAGCAGTGTCTTTCCTCCTCCTTCTCCTCCCTCATCATAGTGAAGATAATTAAGTGATCCACTTGCCCTCCATCTCAGCATATTAAGAAACTTAAAAACTCATCACTTGACCCTGAAGTGGAGCTCTCCCTCGGACATCCTCCTTCTCTCCACTCTGGAGAAATTTATGGAGCCAATTAGAAGTGAGCCTGCCTGATAAACTCAGGCCACTCTGCCCAGCATGAGCCAGAAAGCGCAACTTCTTATGGGTTGGGATGGAATTACACACGTTCCCTTGGCTTCTGTTCTGTACCGTCACATATAAAAATAGGAATTGATTTTGCTTTTTTTTCCACTCAGGAGTGGGTTGAATGGAACAAGGCTGTTATCGGTAAAGTCCATCTGTTCTGTTGGAGGGCCCCATATGAGCGAGAGGCAGTGGGGGAGGCAGGCTGCGGGATGTTTCAAGATGGCAGAGAAACCCACAGGAGGGAAGAGAAGTTTGCTTGGCACTCAAGCTCTGAGGGTTTTTGAACTCTGTTCTCTGATATTCCACAGGCGCCGGGTTGCCAAGAAACCTCCCAAAAGACCACAACCAGGCCTGCTGTTGGTTCTTGTCCAGCAGCACGATAGGAAAAAAACAGATGGAAAATATTGCAGCCCCCAACTATTCCTGTGGCTCACACTTTGCTTGCCACGTCCTTGTTCGTGTTCTGCTTGCAGGGAGACTGTGGTTTTTGGTGGATGACCACTATGTTGCGGTTTATCAGTCTATGCGGAAGCTACTCAGCAGTCTTTCCAGCCCCAGCCCTCTGTTGAATCACGCAGAGTCAGAGTAAAAGGAAAAACAAAATTTACTCTTGAGTGTTGTTGTTGTTCATTCGTTCAGTCCCCTCCGACTCTTCGTGACCTCACGGACCAGCCCACGGCAGAGCTCCCTGTCGGCCGTCACCACCCCCAGCTCCTTCAAGGTCAGTCCAGTCACTTCAAGGATGCCATCCATCCATCTTGCCCTTGGTCAGCCCCTCTTCCTTTTACCTTCTACTTTCCCCAGAATAATTGTCTTCTCTAGGCTTTGCTGTCTCCTCATGATGTGGCCAAAGTACTTCAACTTTGTCTCTAGTATCCTTCCCTCCAGTGAGCAGTCGGGCTTTATTTCCTGGAGGATGGACTGGTTGGATCTTCTCGCAGTCCAAGGCACTCTCAGCACTTTCCTCCAACACCACAGCTCAAAAGCATCGATCTTCCTTCGCTCAGCCTTCCTTTTGATCCAGCTCTCACATCCGTAGGTGACTACAGGGAATACCATGGCTTTGACTAGGCGGATCTTTGTTGCCAGTGTGATGTCTCTGCTCTTTACTATTTTATCGAGATTGGACATTGCTCTCCTCCCAAGAAGTAAGCGTCTTCTGATTTCCTGGCCACAGTCTGCATCTGCAGTAATCTTTGCACCTAGAAATACAAAGTCTGTCACGGCCTCCACATTTTCTCCCTCTATTTTCCAGTTGTCAATCATTCTTGTTGCCATAAACTTGGTTTTTTTGATGTTTAGCTGCAACCCAGCTTTTGCGCTTTCTTCTTTCACCTTGATTAGAAGGCTCCTCAGCTCCTCCTCGCTTTCGGCCATCAGAGTGGTGTCATCTGCATATCTAAGGTTGTTAATGTTTCTTCCAGCAATTTTCACCCCAGCCTTGCATTCATCAAGCCCCGCACATCACATGATGTGTTCTGCATACAAGTTGAATAGGTTGGGTGAGAGGATACAATCCTGCCGTACGCCTTTCCCAATCTTGAACCAGTCTGTTGTTCCGTGGTCAGTTCTGACTGTTGCGACTTGGTCCTTGTACAGATTCCTCAGAAGAGAGGGAAGGGGGCTTGGTATGCCCATCCCACCAAGAACTTGCCACAATTTATTACTCTTGAGTAGTCAGAGATAAATATGCAGCTTTACAAAATAGCCAGCCTTGAAAATAAACTCAGTCCTTTGCAGCAAAATAACTCACACAAAGTCCAATGCCTTAAAACCATGCATTCTCTGCTTCTTCAATGGTGCAAGGAGTCTTGAAGTAAATGGTTCAGAACGTCAGCAAGTCCTAAGTCCATAGAAGTCCCATCCGGTCTCTTCTCAATCATTTGATCACCTGAATACATCAAGGAAACACTCCTCATGATATACTCCATGCAGGGAGTGGCTCAAGCTTAATTGCTTAATTGTCTAGGTGTTCTTCCTCAACACACACCCACACAAGAGATGATCCTTGCAAAGACTTAGCATACATATGCACATCCTGTAATGCACGATAGTCTTGCCAGGTTTTCAAAAATGGAGTAAGGGGTGGGTTGTTGTGAGTTTTCCGGCCTGTATGGCCATGTTCCAGAAGCATTCTCTCTTGACGTTTCGCCTGCATCTTATGGCAGGCATCTTCAGAGGTTGTGAGGTCTGTTGGAAACTAGGAGAATGGGATTTATATATTTCCAACAAACCTCACAACCTCTGAGGATGCCTGCCATAGATGCAGGTGAAACGTCAGGAAGGAATGCTTCTGGAACATGGCCATACACCCTGGAAAACTCACAGCAACCCAGTGATTCCGCCCATGAAAGCCTTCAACAATACAGAGTAAGGGGCATTTCTTTACTTTTTGTTTTTGATGTGACCAAATGCTTTGGGATTGATGTATTTCAGTGGTTCCCAATCATTTTTTGACCAGGAACCATTTGACCAGGGATGACTTGAGCACTCTGACCCATGACCACTTTGAGCAGGGACCACTTTGACCAGGGACCACTTGACCATGGACCACATTGACTAGGGACCTCTTGACCACTTTGACCAGGGACCACTTTGACCCATGATCACTTTAGATCTGTCACCACCTGACCAGGGACCACTTTGACCCATGATCACTTTGATCTGTGACCACCTGACCAGGGACCACTTTGACCAGGGACCAATTGACCAGGGACTACTTGACCAGGGATCCCTGGAACTGGGACCACTTTACCAGGGACTACTTTGACCAGGGACACTTTTACCAGGGGCCACTTTGGCCAGGGACCACCTTGACCAGGGACCACTTTGACCAGGGACCACTTTGACCGGGGACCACTTTACCAGGGACTACTTTTACCAGGGACCACCATGACCAGGGACCACTTGACCAGGGCCCATTTGACCAGGGAGCAATTTGACCAGAGAGCACCTGACCATGGACCACTTTGACCCATGACCACTTTGACGAGGGACAACTTTGACCAGGCACCACTCTCCCACATTAGTACCAAAAGGGTTACAAATCAGTGTTGGTCAACTTTAGATTTGGTTTGGTTATTTGGGGTGCTGATTCTGAAAATCACATTGGATAGACCACATCAGCTCTAGCTTCTGATAAGAACATATCCAGTAGTCACCATCTGCTCACCCACAGAAACCCATATTTAATAAGACTCAGCTCTTGTTGAAATGGTGTAGTAACAGTGATGCCATAAGGTTCTTGTGGGTTTTTTCGGGCTATAGAGCCATGTTCTAGAGGCATTTCTCCTGACGTTTCGCCTGCATCTATGGCAAGCATCCTCAGAGGTTGAGAAGGTCTTGTGATGCCATATTTTAGTTCTTGTGGACCACTGGTGGTCCACAGATCACAGGCTGGGAACCACTGATGTAATTTCACATCAGGATAACTGAGATCGATGCACTGCATCAGTCCCATTGTGGATTGGTCCCATTTTGCAAGGATCACATTGCCAGGTCTGCTACATAGTAAGGTAACAGCAGCTCTTTCTTTAACTCACTTACCATGTTTCTTTTCCTTCTCTTCCCAAACAGATCCCATTGGTCTCAACCACCCGAGAAGAATGCTGCTATCACGCTGGGGATGGTGGCTGTCCACTTGCTCTCTTGCCAAGGTCTTGGTCGCTTCGGTCCTCCTCACAGAGAATGCCTCCTGGGCTGAAGCTTACAATCCTGAGCTGGAGGCCAACAGCAGCAACCCATGTGAAGGGGTCACCAAATGCTTACCAGGAGTTATCCTCCCCGTTTGGCAGCCAGACAACCCTTCCTTTGGAGATAAGGCTGCCAGGGCGATTGTCTACTTTGTTGCCATGATGTACATGTTCCTGGGGGTCTCCATCATTGCGGATCGTTTCATGGCCTCCATTGAGGTGATCACCTCCAAGGAGAAGGAGATCACCATCACCAAATCCAACGGTGAGACAAGCATTGGCACGGTGCGGATCTGGAACGAGACGGTCTCCAACCTCACTCTCATGGCCTTGGGCTCATCCGCACCTGAGATCCTTCTCTCCGTCATAGAAGTTTGTGGCCATAACTTCCAAGCTGGTGAACTGGGTCCTGGAACCATTGTGGGCAGTGCCGCCTTCAACATGTTTGTGGTCATTGCCGTGTGTGTCTACGTCATCCCGAATGGGGAAGTCCGCAAGATCAAGCACCTGAGAGTCTTCTTCGTCACTGCTTCCTGGAGCATCTTTGCCTACATTTGGTTGTACCTGATCTTGGCCGTCTTCTCTCCTGGGATCGTGCAAGTCTGGGAGGCCTTACTTACCCTTGTCTTCTTCCCCGTCTGCGTTGTCTTTGCCTGGATGGCTGACAAGCGCCTGCTCTTCTACAAGTACGTCTACAAGAGGTATAGGGCCGACCCACGCAGCGGCATCATAATTGGGACAGAAGGTGAGTTTCCCAAGGGGATAGAGATGGATGGGGGCTTTGTGGCCAACGACCACCGGGAGAGCGTCTTCATTGATGGGAGCGCAGCCTCCGTTGCCCCACTCCCGATCACCACCCAAGAGGAGAAAGAGTTGGATGAGAGCCGCAAAGAGGTCATCCAGATCCTCAAAGACCTGAAACAGAAGCACCCGGACAAAGAACTGGAACAGCTAGTGGAGATGGCCAACTACTACGCCCTCTTGCACCAGCAGAAAAGCCGAGCTTTCTACCGCATCCAGGCAACCCGCATGATGACCGGGGCCGGAAACATCCTCAAGAAGCACGTTTCTGAATACTCTAAGAAATCCGCCAACCTGCTAGAAGTGCCCTCAGAGGCAGAAGTGGAAGAAAACTACAGCAAAATCTTCTTCGAGCCCTGCATGTACCACTGCTTGGAGAATTGTGGCTCAGTTACTTTAACTGTGGCCTGTGAACAGGCTGAGGATACCTATAACACTTTCTATGTGGACTACAAGACAGAGGATGGTTCTGCCAAAGCGGGCTCAGATTATGAGTACAGCGAGGGGACGTTGATCTTCAAACCTGGCGAGACCCAAAAGGAACTCAAGATCGGCATCATAGATGATGATATCTTTGAAGAGGATGAGCATTTCTTTGTCCGGCTGCTCAACTTGCGGGTGGGCGATGCTGAGGGTATGTTTGAGTCGGACTCCGCCGACCACCCCAAGGGCCGGCTTGTGGCCCCCTTGGTGGCCACTGTAACCATCTTGGACGATGACCACGCCGGCATCTTTACCTTCCAGGATAAACTGTTGAGGGTCAGCGAGTGCCAGGGGACCATGGAGGTCAAGGTGATCCGGAGTTCAGGAGCTCGGGGGACTGTGATGGTCCCTTACCAGACGGTGGAAGGGACTGCGCGAGGAGGAGGTGTGGACTATGAAGACTCCTGCGGGGAGCTGGAATTCAAGGACGACGAAACAGTGTAAGTAAATGGTGCCTGTCTTTGTGATGCAACAGCTTGCCATATGGATTCGTTTTACACATAAGATTGAAAAAATATTTTTAAATAACGTGGAAGAGAAGTGACATGAGAACCTTGTATCCATCTTATATTAATTTCATCTTATATTCATTTTTTTATACAATTGAGAAGATGTATTTTTGCCAGGATTTTTAAATGACAGATGTACTATGGGCACAACGTGGGCTTGCATTCAATGTTGAACATACTTCTATCAATGGGTCAGGCTATATCATATATGTCAAACTCAAGGTCCTTGGGCCAAATCCGGCTCACAATGTCACTTGATGTGTCCCTCCAATCGTTGAACTACAACTCCTGTATTCCTCATTATTAGACATCATGACTAGAGCTGATGGGAGTTGTAATGTAGTAACATCTGGAAGGCTGCAGTTTGCTTTGTTGAGTTAGGAGAGTGGGGATTGAATGTAGATGCAAGGTTTGTGAATGTGGTGTCTGGCTTCATTCACAATGTCCTTTAACCTTTCCCCAACCTCAATGTCACAAGTGCTGTTGGGTTGCCATTCCCATTATCCTAAGTCTTCATGGTGGATAATCAAAAGTGATGGGAGTTGTCATTCAATAACATCTGGGGACCCAAACTGGGTAAAAACGAAAGAGGACTGACCACTATGTAAAGAAAGAGTAGTTGACTCTCTGTATTGATGGGATTCTCCATCCATGGATTCAATGGCCCCGTCGTACACCAGAGCAGGAGCACCTCTGACCTTAAACACCACACCAGCTGGGTAAAATCAGCAAGCAGTTTACTGAAGAATATAAGTAGGGAAAGCAATAAAATTAGCAAAAGCAGTAAAGTTCCAAAACAAAGGTAAGTCCATGAGCAGAGGTGGCCCTAGGTAATTTTCAACGGTAAGCAAACAGTATTTTGGCGCCGCCCCCACCCAACCAATCATTGATATATATTTTCTGTTCATCATGGGAGTTCTGTGTGTCATATTTGGTTCGATTCCATCATTGGTGGAGTTCAGAATTTTCCCCCAAGAGCCAAGAGCGCCCCTGGGCAAAATCAACTATACTGCAAATGCTTACTTTGCGTAATGGGTTGAGCCGCCCCTGTCCATGAGTTTCAAGGCAAAACAAGATCTATAGCTATAAAAAGCCATGAAACAGGCACAAGAATCCATGAAACAAGGCAGCATGAAAAATCCAATACACAAATCAGGAGCTTGGCAAAAACTTGGTACGCGAAACTAAGAACACTTGAAAGCAAGACCATCATGAAATTCCAATGTTGACCCAGCTGAGGCAACTTTTCCCCATGAATCAATATAAGACTTTTCCAGATCCCAAAACTGAAAGGAAATTGTTTGTCTTGACCTTACCACCAGATAAAGGTTTCTTATCTCTCTTTTCCTGTAAACAAACTGATCTTCTTTGTGCCTGAGCACTCTGTCACTGTTTACAAAAGCCTTGCTTTCTATCTACACCCTCAGTAACTTGACTGTCATTAACTTCTGCACCTGACAGTTATTATTTATTATTATTATTATTTACTTTGCTTATATACCGCTGTATCTCAAGCCCGAAGGCGGCTCACAGCGGTTCACAAACAGTAAACGGTTCACAAACAGTTGCTCTGAGAAAGACTGTGAAGGGCCTCTCCCAGGAATGTGACTTTATGAATCTTTCAGAGACTGCTCGGATCTCTCTCTAAGCTTAACTCAGGCCCAGGTAAACCCTCATCCCCAGGCCCAGGCCCAGGCCCACCATCAGGAACATCATCCCCATTCCAATCATGAACATTAGACACAATCACAGGTGGAACAGGCTAACATACAACAGGCCCTTTGAAGGCAAGCAGTTTTTCTATATATCTTTCATATTAACTGGCTCACCGTTTTGTCCGCTTTCAAATGGTATTTGGAAAGCAGGAGTCGGTGGCAATCGCAGTGCCTTTAATTGCCGTTTCCATTTTCCTTCGTCTGCTGCAAAATCATTGGGGGGCTAAGCGGGTGGCAGACTGTCAAAGCGATCAAGAGCCCTGATTTTATTTGAAACCCTTGATAACTTTGTGCATTGCAAGCGGAGGGGAAACCATTCCTACCCCGATGCAACCAAACCTTTCTCCCCAGCTGCCACATAATTTAAAAATTGGAAGTTTTATTAGAGCAAGAGAATGGGAAAGTGAGTCAAGGGGAAGGCTGCAATTTTACTCATTATACTGTATAAGAAATTTCATTTGGAAAGCTTTGCTTTAGACCGGGACTCGGCGAATTAAAGCAATAATTTTGTGCGACTTTTTTACTAGGCGAGGTTCCAAAAAAAGTGTTTTGTGTGTGTGTACATGTGGTTTTAAAATCCTAGGAGTTCAGCCAATCTGGCTAAGCAAGGAAATTGAGAACTGTGTGTTTGTTTATTCCTGATACATATATATTATTAGGTTTAATGCAAATGATCCACACACAAAAAGAGCATAAAAACAAACAAACAGAATCAGAAAAAGAGAAAGATATGGAAATGGAAACAAACAACATACACATGTACTAAATAAGGAACTATTAAACATTATACCAAACATGATATCAAAGTTGTGGCCAAGAAGCTCAGGTGTTAACAGCTTATAAGATGCAGGAACTTAGTTAATGGGTCTTTGGAAATATGGCTACAATTAATAACAACAACAATAACAACAATGGCAGTAATAATTATTAAAGATCAGATTGCAAAGACTCTGGCACAAGTCAATAAAGGTGGTCGCAGTAATGATCAGTACACTGGGTGCAGTGACTAAAGACCTTGGCTTGCACTTAAAAACAATCGGCACTGACAAAATCACCACCTGTCAGCTGCAAAAGGCCACCCAACTGGGATCTGCACACATTATTTGCCGATACATCCCACAGTCCTAGACACTTGGGAAGTGTCCGACTGGTGATCAAATACAAAAGACAGCATAATAATCTTGTTTGCTGTGTACACCGAGAACTGGGAAGCCCTGGCCCTTGAGTGCTCTTGCTGGAGGTCAGCTGTGACCAGCAGTGCTGTAGAATTTGAAGAGGCACAAATGGAGGGCAAAAGAGAGAAACGTGCCAAGAGGAAGGCGCATCAAGCCAATCCCGACCCGGACTGCCTTCCACCTGGAAACCGATGCCCTCAGTGCGGGAGAACATGCGGATCAAGAATAAGGCTCCACAGTCACCCACGTACCCACCTCCAGTACACCGAACTTGGAGGACAATCTTATTCAGATCACCTAAGTAAGTAAGTAAGTATGTAAGTAAGAGAAAGGCAGAGTAGAAATGCCATAAATAAATAAATAAATAAATAACACTCTATTCTATCCTATCCTGTCCTATTCACCCCTACAAAGTTAATAGATTGCCATTTTTTGCACTTTTGAACTCAGTTTGCAGCAACTGAAGTAATCTTACTGCTAGGCTAGAGAAGGATAGAGAACTCAGGACATTTTAAATGCAGCTGCAAAAGTGGGATGGCAGAGGATTAATATGGACGAGTATGGATGTTGCATTGCAGCAGGTGGTCAGTGGTTTGCTCTTCTCCACACTCGCATTTGGTGGATTCCACTTTGTGGCCCCATTTCTTAAGGTTGGCTCTGCATCTCGTGGTGCCAGAGCGCAGTCTGTTCAGCGCCCTCCAAGTCGCCCCGTTTTCTGTGTGCCCAGGGGGGAGTCTCTCATTTGGTATCAGCCATTGATTGAGGTTCTGGGTTTGAGCCTGCCACTTTTGGACTCTCGCTTGCTGGGGTGTTCCACGTAGTGGTCTGAGCCTGCTACTTTTGGACTCTTGCTTGCTGGGGTGATCTGTAGATCTTAGAAAACTATTTCTTGATTTAAGTCATTGACGTGCTGGCTGATACCCAAACAAGGGATGGGCTGGAGATGTCACTGCCTTGGTCCTTTCACTATTGGCTGCTACTTCCCGGCGGATGTCAAGTGGTGCAATACCGGCTAGACAGTGTAGTTTCTCCAGTGGTGTAGGGTGCAGGAATTTTCCATTCAAAGGGGTGTCAGGCAAGGCTGCCCCCTGTCACCACATCTATTTATAATGGGGATTGAGATTCTATCAGAGAGAATTAGAAATAGCATAAGGATCGAAGGTTATAAATTTGATGATGGAGGGGAAATTAAATTAAATTTATTTGCTGATGATATTATGATAGTTTTATCCCAACCTCTAATAGGAATAAGAGAATTAAAAATTATATTAACAGATTTTGAAAAAAATACCGGATTGGGGGTAAATATAAAAAAATCAGAAATTATGTATTTTGAGGTAAACAAAAAAGAAAAAAGAGAAATTGACAATATAACAGAAATAGGTATGGGGAGGACAAAAATAAAATATTTGGGTGTAATTATACATAAAAATATGGAAAAGATGACAGAGATCAACTATAAACAGACATGGAAGAAAATTTCTAATAGTATGAAAAATTGGAATAAGAAAAATCTGGGTATCTTAGGAAAAATAAAGGCAACTAAAATGTTTTTGACACCAAAATTATTATACCTATTTCAAGTCCTTCCATTGGAAATCAAACAAGGACAATTTAATAAGTGGAACAGGACAATAAAGAAATGGATATTAGGAGGAAAGAAATCTAGACTGCCAAATAAACTATATTATATACATCAGGAAGAACTGGGGTGGGGAGTTCCAAATTTGGAATTATATTACGAGGCTTTTCAGCTAAAACCTTTACTTGAAAATATGAAAGAAAATAGGGATAAATGGTTTAAGATTGAAGATGGAGTTAATAAAAGAGAGGCAAGCTTTGGAATCTTTACAGGGAATTTGGAAATAAACATCAAAAGAACAAGAGGCCCCAGAAAACTTGCATTAAAAATTTGGAAAAAATGGAAACCTAAATTAATGCCAGGAATATCAAAATGGACCCCGCTTGAGAGCCTTTACGAGAAGGAGTATGATTCGTGCTGGTGGAGAGAAATGAGGGACAAGGGATACTATAGGATTAA